CTTCTTGTAATATTATTGCAGCACTTTGGAATGCATCATCTCTCTTCTTCTCTCCCTCGCTTTCTATCATTTCTGGCATCGTGGGTGTTGTTTGTAGCAATGTGGAGGCAGTGGACTCTGCTGAAGCCCGTTCAAGGGCACTCTCTTCCTCCTCCTTCTCTTCTGCACCGGCTCGGCTCAAAGCGTGTGAATTCCCCCACAGTGGTGCGTGTGCGCCAGCTCCACCGCCTAAAGGAGGTCCATTCTCCTGCTCCAGTGGATATATCTCTAAGTCACATCTCCCTATGGGCTCATGTTCAGGGGCTGTTGTAGCTTGGCAGAAATCAATCACAACAGCAGACACATTTTTCTCATCTTTGACTTCCCCTGTTGTACAGTGGTTGTGGTGTATGGTTTCACCATCTGATATTGATTTGCAGGGTCCATCTGTCTGATCCTGGTTATCATTTTGCTCAGGCCCCTGTGGAGAGTCCAGTAACCGGGCAGGTGGAGCCTTAGCCAGGGAAAGATGAGCTTCGGGTTCTGGAGGTGGGGAGCAGATCAATTGTTTACCCTCAGGACTCAGCTGTTCTGGGAGTCCTAATTCCTGTCTTTGATGGTCAAGGCTTGATCCTACTTTTGTGTTTGTTTCTATCTGTCCATTTATCTGCTGACGTGTCCCTGACTCCACCTGTTTCTGTATGTTTGGTTGTATGCTTATTTTAGCTTCTAAATGCAACGTGTGACCAGAATGTTGATCCAGTAAATCACTAATTAACTGACTATGTGTCTCTATTTTTATTTCATCTGAGTTCTGAATCATCTGTGTAACTTTTTCAGAACTTCTGACTTCTTCATTCAAAGGATTTGTCTCTTGAATTATTCCTGTTTCTCTCTGGGTTGTCTGTGCTATAACGTTTATTCTGTCTTCATCTTGTGAACTCTCACCGTCCAGGGTGTTTTTCAAAGAGCAGATATCTTGTATTGATTGATCCTGGGTAAGAGTTTCCTTTTCCGCATCAATCTCGGATGTTGTTTGTGTACCTGTCCATATGGTATGTGTGTTTTGTTGACCAGCTATGTTCTCAGCTGTGTCTATTTTTGTCTCTATCTCTGACTTTGTTTGCTGTTCTGCCTCTGACAGCTGGCTTGCTTCTTCACTGTGGTTTTCTGTTATATCCTCAATGTTTTTGACAACCTCAGCTCCAGCTGCACATGTATAACTTTGCTTTCTTTCTAGAACATAATCTCTGAAGCTAAACACCCCCTCTTCACCCGCTGATGAGTCATTTGTGTGCGCTCCATCATTTCCATGGCAACCTTCATGAAATTCGGCAGGTTTATGTGAAGATGAACCAAAATCCTTTTTGACTTCAGCTTTCTCAGTTTGATTTTTCTCATCACTTACAGAGAAAAACCTGTCCAGATCACCTGCAGTCCATGTGTCTGCATGGAAAGATATGCCAAGAGCAGCCATTTCATCTTCACATTCCCTTAAAGCTTCCTGGAGTTCATAATCCATCTGGGCAGCCAAAGGACTGAGGGACAGTGATGCTGTCTCAGCAGAAACTTGGTCACCATCACAGCTATCAGCGTTCACCAAAAAAGATACATTAGAATAAAACTGCTCTGAGAAACAATCAGTTGTTCATTCCACACCAAGCCAAAGCACTCCACTCCACCTCATGCCAGAGACAGGATGAGAGTTCATGCATAGGCACAACTAAGTATTTTAAATGTGTAAGATACAAAAAACACACACGCACACAGCAAAAAAATTATAAATAATAATCATTATTCTTAATCAGTAATTTGTCATCATAAAACAAGGTAAATTATCTTGAGAACAAAATTGCATGATAATAAACTTTTTTTTACTTTTTTTTTCAAGAATATATCTAGAATTAAGATTATTTTTCTTACCTCAGTGACATTTAGTTTTATTTTAAACATAAATCTAACAAATTTTAGTGTAATCATTTAGTGAATTAATCAACTTTATTCAAGATATATTCTATGAAATTAGTATTTTTATTATATACAAGTAAATTTACTTTGTTTTAAGGATGTAATTAAATAAGAAACTAAATAATATTTTTCTTCTGTTTAAAAAAAAGGTTTTACTATACACAGACAGTGCCAGGATTATTTATTTATTTATTTACTTACTTACCCATTAGGTACCACTTCATTTCCTCATTTCAAATTTATGAATAGTATAAATCACTTGCAATCATGTTTCATTTTCATTGAGACTAAAATCAAGATGCTGAAATCTTTTTGCAAATGTAGAAAAGTTAAATGAGTTAACTACATAGCCTGAAGTCTTATGGACTTGGCAGAAAATCACATGCCTTAGGGCAAGGTTAATGCTTCAATGCTTTTAGCATCCATTAAGGACCCAGTGTAACTGACTACCTATACAGTACGTATGACAGAACAGCACCAGCCAAAAAACTGCTACATGCTTCTAACAACCTTGCTTCTAACAACCTAACTGCAGACAATATAGAACCTGGTGAACCACTGTGACTCTGCATATCACGTTTCAAGAGCTGAAACACAGTCAGTGACTAACAACCCAATAAAGTAGCTACAGCTGATCTAATATGACAACCATGCTTCCCCCACACTGCCTGTCTCACCTTAGTGTGCTTCTTTCTGTGCCTCCAGGGGAATTAACAGAACAGAGACAGCTTAGCTAACAAATTTTTGCCTGTCATTTTAAACAAAAAACTATCAATCACCTTCACCTTAAATGGAAACAAATGAGAAAGCAGATCCTCATGGGTTTCTCTCTGACTGGACCACAGCACTCGTGTGATCTGCCAACTTGATGATATAAATGACAACAGGCTCAACCATGCAGCCTTTTTCTTTTTTCAGTAAATGATTATGACTGGAAGCTGCCACTCCCATTCAGAGGAGGCAAGAAAAACGTTTATAACTCTTCTCTGGCATAACTGGAAAGTCAGACAGCTGTACTGCAGTTTAAGTTACAGCAATTATGCTTGTATGTGCTAAAACTTACTTGAGGCCTTTTGGCATACTGTATGTCTGAATGAATTACAGAACTGCAGCCACTCCCTACTGCACTGTCGGGCAGAATTTCAATACCCACAATCCTCTGCCCTTCCCTGAGCACTTTTATTGCCTTTCTAGCAAAAAAAACACAATCTGAAAAGAATACATAAATATTAATAAAAACATAAATAGTATAAAAACATAAACAGCTGACTCTGACAGGATTTGGCTGTATTTAGCTGAGAGAAACTAACATGAAGTACACCCTTAAACATGTCAAGTATGTCAAGTATGAATGTAGATCTCATCTGTCTGTGTCGGCACAAGTCTATGCAATTGCAACCAGATGTAATAATGTGTTGATAACTCTCTCAACAGGAAAAAAACTGAACATACACACACAAAACGACCGCAAATATACACACGCCACACTCAAACATGGCTTTCTGTAAAGGAGGACACCTCTCACGCTATATATTGATCTAGTGTGGTAAACCATACACTTTCACCTCATGCGTGTTAAAGAGTCATGTCAGCTGCCCGATCAAAGCACAACCAAAAACAACGCTAGTTTAGTTCACAGCAAACCAACTCAACCAGCTTTAAAGCCAAACACGTTCAACAGACCACTAACCCAGCTAGTACAACTATGTTTTTCCAGTTGTGAAAAGTTTGTAAAAACATTTTGATCCTAAATACTTAACATGACCAATGATGTATTAAAGTATATAAATAAAATGTTTATATATTTTAAAAAATTACATATTTTGTGTTTACCATTAAATAAGCAAGCTGTTTCTGGTTGTATTTTGTTCATAAACATACTGTATGTTCTGTAAACATAATATTTCTGAAGACATTTTTGAAGCCTGTTTCATTTAAATGCTGATTACATTATATAAACCTAAACAAGTTTGGCACAGTTTTGTTCCATAATAGTAATAACATAAAAGCATACAACATAAAAAAAGTATTTTTTATTATTTCATACTAAGTATAGTTTAAACCTATTAACATATGTACTGACATATCACTCGAAAATTTTTATTAAACTTTATTTGGAGTACTACTTGTGCACAATGCACATTTCGTAATATTAAGCCTAAAATGTGTTTTAATGTCACTATTGATGAGGATTTTAAGATCTTTGAATAATATCGGTCTTTAAATGCAAGATATTTAAAGTGTACCTAAAGTATACTTGCAATAGCTCCACTTTAGCACAATCAAATATACTTAAGTATATCTTTAGTTGGACTTCAGCACTACTTCCAAACAATTCAAATGCATTAAGTACAAAATTAGTTGTTCCAGTTTAGCAGACTTTAAGTATACTAGTTTAGTTTACCGAAAGTACAATTGCAGGGTATTTTTATTAAGTACATAAATATGTAAATGTATTTGTAGTATACTGAGCATGAAATAAATGTATTTCAAATACATTTTAGTATATTCATTTTTCTCTAGGGTAGGTAGATATGTTTATGTTTCTTACGATATTTTGGCTGTATAAATTTATATTTGCAACTTAATTTTTCTCTCTCAAAGTTACTGTTTGGTACTGATCATTTTTATAATCCAAATACATAAAACGCACATCGTGATTTGGTTACACTGTTTTTCTTAAATTTCTTTTTTTACATCTATTTGTTTGTTAAACTTGTTCAACAGAGTACTGCAGTGTAACTTAGCTGCAACTAAAATTCAACGTTCTGAAAAGTAAAAATGTTTTGTGCTTACTGGGAACTCCATTTGCACAGCACACATCAATAATCACACCCAAAACACAAAATGGAGCAAAGGAGATCTCACCAAAATCTATTACATATGAAAATATGAATACACTTTGGCCGAGTTACCAATGTCTGTCTCTTATGCCGTAACAGACTGGTATCTCTCTGTCTCCATTTTAATCATTCCTCTATTACCTCTTCATGAGGCCCACTACTGGTGGACTGGCCTCCATGTAGTGCTCTAGGCCTGCCAGCAGAGGGTTGGCAGTGCCACCCAGTGCCACAGCCTCATTCTTCATTTCACCCAAGCTCCCCTGCTCACAACTTTACACACACATACACAAATAAATACCCATGAATATGAGCCTCATAACATCAGGGCTCATTAACAGGAAGATTCAATTACTAATCAAGCTGTAAAAGAAATCTAAGTAGATGGGTTTGATCAAAATAATTTTAGAACAAACATTTTGTCCACTAACAGGCTATGGTAATGCATTATTGATGTATTTATGTAAAAATTCACAGATTTTGTCCTTTTATTCCTAGAACTGACACTTGTCATATGTCTTATTAGGTAGAAACCTAACAGCAGAAATTCCTTGGAGAAACTCTTGCTGTAATATACACTACATACTATGACATAGTATACATAATATATACAGTATGTATAAAAAAATTGAATTTATAATGGAAATGGTAATGTCTTCAAACAAGCCTTTCGTTTTAATTAGCATTACCTCCATAAAATCATGTAAAATAAAAGTCATTGGAGTGTGTCTGGGTTCTACCACCTTAACAGCTGGCAAGGTTTGCGGCTTTTTTTGTAGGCCTGCCAATTGTCCATTCAGTCAAGTTTTCCATAGGAATGAGTCAGAGATGAATGGAAATTCATTCTGTGTTTATCCAGCCAAGCAAGTACAAGGAAGGATCTTCGTATAATAAGTGTTGTGTTTTGCTTTGATTGTGAAACATAGTAAGACGAGACATAAATGAGTGAGCAAGTATCAGAGTCCAATGTAATCATTGGCTTCCAGTTTCAAGACTAATATAAACTTGCGCCATTCTTTGTGTCCTCAACTCCCAGGTGAGTTCACAATTTTATGGCACATTTCATTGAACTTTCATAGAAATTCAAGTTCTGTCATCATTTACTCACCCTCATGTTGTTTCAAACCTGCATGAGACATTTTTCAAAATATCTGCTCTTGAAAGTCATTTCGGATTGGAATGATATAAGTGTGAGTAAATGATGACAGAAAATGCCTTTTTGAATACCATACCTTTAATTACAGTAGACACATTAATCATTATCACCTTTTTAATCACTCTCTTTTTGTTTCCTGAATGCAAAATAGTTTTTTTGTTTACCAGTATGCAAAACATAACCAAAAGGTGGAAAAATTTGCATCAGATGTGAATCAAAATGAATTTCAAAAGAATCAGGCATTCTGTTGAAACTTGCCCCTTGCTAAATGTCAAATGACAGATCTACTCCTCAGCGCACAGTTCCCTGAGGTAATCAATGTGTTTGTATGAGAGAGAAAAATTGTTGAGACCTACCCAAGCGAGGTTCCCCAGGTGAGATTGAGCTCAGTGCTGAGGTCGAGGTCTATGCTGGGCAGCAGATCATGAGGAAACTCTAGTTCCTCTTTATCCTCCTCTTCCTGTCTTCTCAGCTTTTCTTCCTCGTCAGCAGACACCTGTGGCTCTGCTTTGACTGAATCAGTGTGGACAGATCCGTTCTCTGCAGTGGCAGACTTCTCCTTCAGTGTGCTCACCTTGTCAGTGTGTACTGCAGCCTGAGAAACACAACAAAAGTAGTTAGAGCACAGACCGGTGCAATCTGTTTTTAATTAGAGATCCATAAATCACTCAGACCAGCTGCACACACCTAAAATGTGTGAACAAGTTAGTTGTTCAAACCGAGATCACGTTCCTTCAAACGTACAAGGTTTGACATTTTACATCAAAGAAAACACACCCACCATGTCAATAAAATTTAAATGCTGAGGTGATTTCAGACTAGGCTACACACCCTGATCATTTATCACTGTGCCATCAGAACTTTTAGACAAATCTTGAAAGAATAAACATGTTTTCAATGAATCCACCACACCAGCTGGGTCTTAAGGATCAGTTCAGGCATGTTCTTATGCCCTTTTGCACACATGAATAAACAATGTAACAAAAAAAATAAACCAACATATGGTTGTAAACTAAAAAGGTACCGGTAATTCTAGGTTCATAGTGAATTTCCACAGAATTCATTTACTTATTGTTTCATTGAAAATGAGGCAAAATGAAGCGATTGTTCTGACTTTACTGGTTTTACTACTATTCGTTCCAGATGAAATAAGATAGCCTCATTCAGCTGAACTGCATTAACCGCAGAGAACTTTAAACACAGATTAAATGCATTCTGGAGCATTTTGTAAAAGGCCAGGCCAAACAAACACATGTAAATCCATATACATGGATTATTTACTATATGTAATTTTTTATTTTAATTTAATTTAATTTATGCATTTAGCAGATAAAAGCGACTTACAGTGCATTCAGGCTATACATTTTTTTTACCAGTATGTGTATTCCCTGGGAATTGAACCCACAACCTTTTGCGCTGCTAACACAATGCTCTACCACTGAGCCACAGGAACACTATTTTTTATAATATTTTTTAAAAAATATATTTTTTTAAATGCATTTCATTTCATTTATAAATGCATTTGTCACACTGCAAGCCTATTTAATTTACCTAGGTGATTAAAATGGTGAAAATCAAAAAAAAAAAAGACTTAACAGCACTTAAAACACTTTCTTTTCCTGCTCACGTTAAGGGTCACAACAGCAGATCATCCACATATAAAGTAAAGTAAAGAAAAATCAAATAAAATAGATTGTCAAATATCCAACTATGTTTTAAAGTCCTTAACTGGAGCAAACACAAATAATTATATAATATTTGATCATTTTAGACTCTCATTTGCATAATAAACACTATGATTTAAAATAAGAGAGAATCTTACCCCTCCAAAACAGACACACACACTCACTCATTTTATTCATACACACACTCATTGATCAACAGTATGATTCACAGGCAAGTCTTGTGCAGCAAAAGAGGATCGTGTTGCAGGCTCTCTGGAACACAGGCCACATTAGAGATGCATTACACAGAAGCCTCACATCCATTAACCATTGTTTTTATCATCTTTGACTCCTGTACACACATCACATGCACTTGATACACATGGGTGCATTGGATTCCCACCTCTGCTGTAGGTTACGTGTTATACACTCTCAGAGCTTTAAGACTATAAGAGTGAATTCATGCATTGATCTACATTCCCAGGCCTGAGCACAAACACCACTCAATTTGAATCAGGTCAGAGTATCAAATGAAATGCCCTGATCTAAGTCCATACAAACTCAAGGGTTCAGATTCCATTAGCTTATTCAGAGTTTTAATTTGTTAACCAAGCCTGGAATAAACACAAGGGTTTCAAATATCAGTAACGTTTATTAGTGACAGATGGCAGGATTTTCGACAAAAAAAAAAAACAGCAAAACCCCTGAAGAACAGGATGCACTTCACACACCGGCGAACAATCACTGTACTGTATCGTTGTATCCCTAAATCTCTCTCCCTCGGCCCTTCATATAAAAACGACCCAGTGTCTGCTACACTACTCCAAAAGTCCTGTCATCAACCTGAGAATCTGTTTACACACCCGCAGACAACAAGTCAATGCCGTATTATGTTATTTGAATGGGGTACAGAAGTGTGAGACCACTAATAAAAATGCTTGTTAAAAAATCTTTATTATTTTATTTAATTTATCATAAAACAATTTGAATGAAAAATTTAACTGAAAAGTTTACATGAATTTAAAATGTTCCAAAAAGCCTCTTTTAAAAAGAAAAAGAAAAATATTTTTTGGAAAAGGGGTTAAAGGGGTCAATATCCAAAATTTTCTTACATATCATTAATAACCTAGAAATATGAAATAACAATTAATATTTACATTTCAAAATTTGAAACATTTTCAACATTTCAAATTTTGTTTCCAAGTTTAAATGACATTTAGATTCTGAGTTTGTATCTATTTTTAACTTTAATAACATTATAAAGCCATAATGCTTTACAAGTACGCCCAAACCATTAGCATACATCAAATACTTAAATCTTTGATCATAAGAAAGGACTTTTTAAACTTGCTAATCACTGAAATTTTATTCAAGCTGTGAGACCACATTTTTCACACCTACACTTGAGTTTAATAGAAATAGCACACTTTGTCTTCTTATGATCTTGTTTCTCATGCTTGGTTTCAAGTTCCACAACTTCCTGTTTCCTGTCTATGCTGTGAACCTATATCTGAGCCCTAGAAAACTTCATTGAGCACACAGTAACTAAAATAAATCACACTCACTGAGCTACATTTGTCTGTAAGTTAAGAATTTAAACTGATATAAGCTACATTGGGGGAATCTCTTACCCAGATCTGCTGATCCATATATACAGCACACAGGGGCCTTTGGAGAATGAAACAGGTAACCTCAAATCACTGCTGTCTTTTTAAATAAAGGGCCACTGTCTACCTTTGTCCTTTGACCTACAGCATGAGTGGTCCTGAAAAGCAGACCCCATATGGTCTCTTTTGCCCTGCCCCTTTAACAGACCACATTGTCCTCCACTACAGTAAATCCCTGCTGTTAACTACCATGCGTCCTTGCTGTGCAGTGTTACTGGTTGCCATGGCAATTGTATAAGCCCAACACAGTAGACTGACCTCTAAATAGTTGTGGCATACACACACAACCCATAAATGATATGAAATGCAGTCCAGTTTTGAATAACAATATGAAACAGACCAAAGTATTATCCCTAGTTAGGACACACACACTAGTGTGTGTTAGGTCACATTTGCAGCAAGCCACTATTAAATAAATCACAAACTCACCTTCTCTAAGGAGGCACACACACATTCGCACGAGACTGCTGCAGCTTCACAGTGCAGCACTCCTGCGCTGAACTCCCCGTGAGCACAAGCAGAGACGTGTGCGTGTTTTGGTTCAGCCGGGCAAAGACACAAACATGCTGCCGGTCGTGCCTATGTTCCAGTCTCCTCCCCAGACTCCTGACTCAGCTCCTTTCACCTCTCCTGCTATAGACCCCTGCCCTTCACAGGAGAACTCTGCTAGTCCCTGGAAGTGTGAGACAGACTGTTCCTCCTGAGAAGCAGTACTATGAAATCTCAGGCTAGAACACTCACAGAGCAACTTGAGTAGTGATCCCTCCCCCTACTCTGTGAAACTCTTTGAGCATGAAGCTTCTGCCCTCTGATCCCTCCTTCTCAAGCTACCTCCTGCCTCTTATGTCTGCTGCTGTTCTGTCACTTCCTGCTGGGGGACTGAGCACTGCACTCTGATGCACACGCTGCAGGTGAAATGCAGGTGGGAAATTGGCCAAAGGTCAATCTCAATGTAACCCACAGGAGGGGATCATGTTATACACTAACTTTTGGAGGCTTCTTAACTAGGGTCCCTATAACAACACTCCGTTTTAAGAATTTTATTCTCTGACCCTAGAGAATTTTTAAGATTTAAACAAATATTTTTTTTCTTACAGTTTCTACCCAATAAAATATTTTAGAGCTTGGCATATCCAGAAAAATGTATATTAAAAAAAAGTAAATTAATTTGTCGCACTGCAAGACTATTTAAATGACCAACAAAAAATGTGCTTAAAATGTTGAAAATTTAAAAAGGAAATGGTGATTTACAGTACTTAAAATACTTTCATTTATACATTCAAATAAACCTCAAATTTTTGCCATTAGGGTTTGCAAAATCCGCATATTTACAGTATTTTGCAAAGGTTATACAGCCGATTATACACTCTAAAAAATATTTACCTAAAATCTTGATGCTTGTTTAAAATATAATTGTCAGCGTCGATCTAACTAGGTTTTCAAGTCTTAATCTGGAACAAAAATAACATCACAATCACAAAAATAAAATAGATTTAAAGGGGTTAAATAGGCCAATATCCCAAATTTTCTTACATATCATTAATTACCTAGAAATATTAAATAACAATTAATATTTACATTTCAAAATCTGAAACATTTTTAACATTTTCAGCATTTCAATTTCACTGTTTCCAGGTTTAAATGGCATTTAGAATCAGTGTTTGTATCTATTTTTAACTTATTTTAACTTATTATTATAAAGCCATAATACTTTACATACTACATAAGAATGCCCTAACAATGAGCATACATCAAATACTTAAATCTTTGAACTTAAATCTTTGAGCATAATCATTCCTAATCACTGAAATTTAGTTCAAGCTGTAAGACCACATTTATTGAGCAGGTTGATTAAAAAAAAACATTATATTATATATATTTATATGCACATTTATATGCTCAATAAATGCGGTCTTACAGCTTGAACAAAATTTCAGTGATTAGGAATGATTAGGCTAAAAGATTTAAGATATGGATATAGTTGTTTTGTCTTAGGCTATTTAAATGCTTGTTTTGTCTTGTGGCCCCCAAGTGGACCCTTAGGCCCGATTTTGAGATCCACCTATGCATCCACAGACATTTGGTTCTGCAAAGTACACACTTTTATAGGAAATCATGTGCATTTTTCAGCTTGTCAGCTATTGTGGACAAGTTGGCCATCCAACTAATCAGCTATGCAGAAAGACCTTAGATTCTTAAACTTGCTAAAGCCAACTTAACTCATCTTAGATTTAAATGATTTTTTCAGCGGGGTAAGCAAACCATTAAACTTAATTCTCTGAAAACCCATATTTGTTGATATGTTCTCACTAAATATATTTCTGAACCACAGTTAATGTAGAAATACCATGCACACTCCCAGTGCAACTTCACACACACATGCTGACACCCCTCCCTACAGTACCTCATTTACCATGTCAGACTGTGTTTCTTCTGGAGGAAATAGCACCACGTTATCTGGAGCGCCCTCCTGTGGCAGAGACAAATGTGTAATGCAAAAGAACAGAAGATACAAGTTGTGGTAAAAGCAAGTCTTTGGAGAGATGCATCTGATTTGCAGATCTGAGTCATTAGGCCTATATATGCCTCAATCAGTCTCCGTTGCTGCTGTTGCTGGACGTTTACCAAGAGGTTCGTTCTGGGAAGCTACCAAACTGTTGGAGTCATCCATGAAAAAGCACTGAGCCCAACAGGTTGATCCTATTAAGATCAGTGTTGGGAAGGTTACTTTGGAAATGTAATAGGTTACAAATTACACTTTTGATTTATTCGTCCAAAATGTGGCATATTCCTTCCGCGTTAGGCTATAGGAATTCCGTTTTTACGACTGGATTCTACGAACCAGTCTGTGTTTTCCGCATCGCGGAAATTATAGGGCCGTATGTCTCAGAGTAGTCAGCGCAATTTGGGAAATAAATCAATTAAATCTGTATGTGGAAGTGTGTAAATATTCAAATGGAATCCCCTTTGTAATCGTTAACATTTTCATAAGTAACTAATTTAATTACACATTATTTCTTAGTAACTGTAACTGATTAGAGTTACATTTATTTTGTAATTAAGTTACGTAACGCCGTTACATGTAACTAGTTACTCCCCAACACTGATTAAGATAAACCCTGAATTCCAAGTTGAGTAGCCTATTCAATGTAGCATAACGTCGCCCAAATGATTCCTTTCAGGGTCCATTGAATATCAAACCACAGTTGAATGCACAAATGCATAAATGTCTTGTAAAATCACATCAGCAGCAAAACGCCATACGCATGCTAAAGATTTAAATTGTGGTGACTGTTGTTGGGGAAACTTTTAAAACTGACTTTTAAGTTACTGTTTGGATTATCTAATTAGCTATGCTAAACAAAAATATGGTTACTTAAGGGAAAAATATCTTTATTCATATTTTTAAAATTACATATTTTTATATTTGTATTAGCCTAATAAGTAGGCTATTAACAAATTTAGTGACCGTATCAAAAAAAAATACAACTAATCTACATAACACTATTCAATGTGAACTCGAAAATGTGAAACAATTTTTATCTGTTACGTTACAGGAACAGTCCGAACAATCAAAACCTGAATGAAACTGACACTGCAGCACTAAATATGAGATGGAGCTTTAAGAACGAGCCAATTAACTATAATGAATGAGTTGGACATTTTAGCGATACATGGGCTATATGAGGAAAAAAGACGGGTTTGAACGATCTGATTCATTAAAATTAATTAATTGAACATTCTAGCGATACATATGAGAAAATAACTTTTAGAAAGTTCCGATTCATTAGAATGAATCGGACATTCCACCGCAACGTGTGTGAGAGGACCATTTAGAATTAACCGATTCACTTGAATGAACTGAACTTTCCAACGCTACAAAGAGAGAGGAACGTTGAGGTGAGGTGAGCGCGTTTGCTATTATTATTCCCTCTGCAGACATTAAAAAAAGCCAACAAACCACTACTCATTGGAAAATGTAGCTCATTACTGGAAAAGCTGCACTTTGAAAGCAGCCAGACTATTGCATGCTACTGAATTGTCACTCTCTAGCACCGATGGGAACAACAGCATAGGCCTATTGGTTAAGATTTAAAAAAATCCCACACAATGAGTTCACTGACCATCTGCACTCTTTCAAAACAAAATTCGGTCAGAATGTTTGACAACACTGAAAACAATGAAAACAACGGTGCATGTTTTTTACCACAGCACACTCTCTCTCTCTCTATCTGAGCTGTTATCTCAAGCACAGGTTGTCACAGGCAGTATGTTGATGGTGAATGCTAACAGATGTCACCAAAAGTCATAGCAGCTCTAAACAGTAAGTCTAGTTTTAAGGCACACACAAGCATGGTAGTCCAAGCGTTTCGGTGCTGAGACAGGCAGCGGGTCCCAGTTGAAACCATCTTACCGGAAGCTCCGAAGTGCTGTTCTCATTGCCCATCTTGTTAAGCGGGGCTGGTAGGTGACCCCTTCACATCAGACCAACAATGGCACAGGCCACCTCTGGCAGACTGAGGGACCGATGTGAAGAAAGCAGACACTGTCAAGGAATTACAAACTATTTCTTCGTCAAACATCCAGAGAAACACTGAGCTTTGAGCGATCAGGGAGTGAAATATGTGTAAGTATGTGTCATGTGTTGAGATTAAGAGGCTCTGATGAAAGCAGAACAAAGTGCAGAGATGCTGTCCAGTAGAACAACCTTCTCAGGGTGGTAGGAAAAAAAACTCTTATTAGAGTCATGGCCTTCAGGCAGTTTCACAGAATTTAAGAGTTATACAATAATTTATATAATACCTATCACGTAATGGCCCAAATTAATCATACAGCAAGTTTAAAACACCTCAATATTTAATTTGTACTGAAAACTCTTCAAACTCTTTTCAGTTTGAAGAAGTTCAGATTTCAAGTGCAGATCTGTAATGCAAATGTAAAGATCCTGAACACGAACAGGATCAATCAGATTGAACCAGCCAAAGCAAACAATCCAGGAGAAACAGTAACCATTCAATTTGATTCTGAAAAAAGAGGAACAATATAGCTAAAATCACAAGCTGGCCATAACAGAGAGTTTAGTATTAGTATTCTGTGATTTTGTTTTAATTTACTGCACCAGTTTACTGCATTTTATACAACAATACAAAGTGCTGGTCTGCCAGCACACAAAGTTAATACTTTTATTAATCATGGGAGCATTAAATTGATCAAAAGTGACAGTAAAGACATTACATGTCACAAAAGATTTCTATTACAAATAAATTATGTTCTACTGAACTTTCTATTCATCAAAGAATCCTGAAAAAACAATTCCAAAAAAATATAATAAGCAGCACAACTAAAGGATCATTTCCAAAGCATCATGTGACACTGAAGACTGAAGTAATGGCTGCTGAAAATTCAGCTTTACTATCACAGGGATCAATTACATTTTAAACTACAGTGCTGCTTGAAAGTTTGTGAATTTTCTATATTTCTGCATAAATATGACTCAAAACATAATCAAAATTTCAGACAAGTCCAGAAAATAGACAACGAGAACCCAAACAAACAGATGAGACAAAAATATTTTCTTTGCCATTTATTTACTGAGAAAAATGATCCAGTGTTACATATCTGTGCGGTGCAAAAGTATGTGAATCTTTGCTTTCAGTATCTGGTCTGACCCCCTTTTGCAACAATAACTGCAGGTAAATGTTTCTTGTAACTGCTGATCGGCTTGACTTCAACTCAGTGATGTTGGTGGGTTTCCTCCTATGAACTGCTTGCTTCAGCTCCTTCCACAACATTTCAATTGGATTAAGGTTCAGACTTTGACTCTGTCATTCCAAAACATTAACATTGTTCTTTTTTAACCATTCTTTGGTAAAACGACTTATGTTCTTGGGGTTGTTGTCTTGCTGCATGGCCTTTAGAATTTGCTGGTATAATTCAGAATTCATTACCCCATCAATGATGGCAAGCTGGCCCAGATGCAGAAAAACAGGCCCAAACCACGATACTACCACCACCATGTTTCACAGATGAGATAAGGTTGTTATGCTTGAATGCAGTGTGTTCTTTTCTCCAAACATAAAGCTTCTCATTTAAATCAAAAAGTTCTATTTTGGTCTCATCCGTCCACAAAACATTTCTCCAATAGCCCTCTGGCTTGTCCACATGATCTTTAGCAAACTGCAGACGGGCAGCAATTTTCTTTTTGGACAGCAGTGACTTTCTCCTTGCAACTCTACCATATACACCATGGGTGTTCAGTGTTCTCCTGATGGTGGACTCATTAACATTAACATCAGCCAATGTGAGAAAGGCCTTTAGTTGCTTAGAAGTTACCCTGGGTTCCTTTGCGACCTTGTGGACTATTACACGTCTTGCTTTTGGAGTTATCTTTGTTGGTGGACCACTTCTGGGAAGGGTAACAATGGTCTTGAATTTCCTCCATTTGTACATCTGTCTGACTGTGGATTTGTGGAGTCCAAACTCTTTAGAGATGGTTTTGTAACCTTTTCCAACCTGATGGGCAACAACAACTCTTTTTCTGAGGTCCTCAGAGATCTCCTTTGTTCGTGCCATGATTCACTTCCACAAACATGATCAGACTTTCATAGATCCCTGTTCTTTAAATAAAACAGGGCAGGCAATGACACCTGATAGTCATTTCACTGAATGAAAACGCCTCTGAACAGATGGACTCTTAATTTCACCTTCAAATTAACTGCTGATCCTAGAGATTCACATACTTTTGCACCGCACAGATATGTAACACTGGATATTTTTTCTCAATAAATAAATGAAAAAAAAAAATGTTTTTGTCTCATTTGTTTGATTGGGTTATCTTTGTCTATTTTCAGGACTTAAAAATCTGTAAAAAATCTGATTATGTTTTGAGTCATATTTATGCAGAAATATAGAAAATTCTAAAGGGTTCACAAACTTTCAAGCGGCACTGTATATAAAAACAGAAAACAGTTATATTAAATTCACAATATTAGTGCTGTACTGTAATTCTGAATAAATGCAGCCTTTTTGAGCATAAGAGACCTCTTATGAAAACATATATAAATTATATAAACATATATAATCATTTTAATGCACGTTTTTCTTTGACCATTAAGTCCAGTCATTAAGAATTTGTGTCATTACTTGATCGTTACTTGTCTGGTGACTTGCAAGCATGAGAACGACATTTTAATAGCATCCTTGATTTAAAGTTCCATTATCAAAAAATGGTAAGTTCGATTAACATCCATTAATCATTTCAAGCTGTCCACTTTTTTACCGTGCCACATTAAGAGAGCAATGTTTTCAGGCCCACTGCACATTTGGCTTGAGTCGCTCACTGTGTGAAGGTTAGTGAGAGTGGAGGAGTATGTCTTATTAGCCCATAAAAAAAGCTCTTCTAGATGGGTCTAACAGACCTCTGGCCAGAACCTCTTTTAAGAACACCACAAGCTCATTAGAAACATAAATCAGCTTCCTGGAGCATTTCGCACACACACTGTTGACCTGCGGCCAGCACAATGCAGAAAGCTCCAGGGCCCATCAGTCATGCTGCCGCCCACTCAAACAACCACAACTACAGCACGCTCTAATGTGGGGAAACTCAGTAAACGGGATCCCATCTATCTATCTAACCCTTCGGTGAAACACCATCTATCTACCTAGTGCTGTGAGGATTCATTGAGGGCATCAGCTGAAATTCAGACAGCATAAATACTAGTCCTAGATGTATACTAATACTACTAGATAGTTGGTTTTTAGTTTTTTCCAGTGGGCACAAGAGATATATTGTATGGCACAGTGGCACAGTTTTACAGTATAATTTAGTAGGAGTCTGATTTTGACAATTAGCGGTGTAAGTGGGTTAATCTGGTGCAGTAAACTCATCATTTGACAGATTGTGCTAGTGACTGAGGGTTTGGAGATTACTGCCAAAATCAACTAGTCAACAGCAGCTGCCCTCTGTCTCCCCCTGCTGTGAGCCAATACTCTGGAAAATGTGTTGTGAAAATTAGACATGGCCTAAGACTTAAAACAGCATAACCCACTAAATGGACTGTAATTTTATCCCTCACAGCCTCATTTTTGGTTACATCAAATTTTGTATGGTGTATCACCAATACATTCATAGAGTGGAATGTGTTTGGAAGTAAGTTGATTGAATGGGTATTTAGCTTTAAAAAAAAAAGTGATATGAAATATTATATAGTTTTGTGTATCACACAAGCTAAATTGAGCATAATGGGAAAATTAAAAATTAAAATACATTTATGCAGATTCTCTTCAATTCAAGAACCTATGGTCTCTGCAGAGTATAATATAAAAAAAGGTTATTATGAGATATTTTAGTTTAAAATAAGAAATAAAAGCCACACTGTGAGATATGAAGTCACACTGTCAGAGATAAGTCACAATTACAAAACAAAGTGGCAGTAAAGTCATATTGTAACTTATAAAATCACAATTTTGAGAAACAAAGTCAAAAGATGGAGATATAAAGTCACAAGTTGGAGATATAAAAATGTAATCCCATAATTACAAGCTTCCATAAGAAACAAATGATAGACTAACATGACCTTTATAATCAATATAGCATCTCCAAAAAACAAAACCATTGTGTCAAACAGTTATACAGATCATCTTGCTAGGCTATATCAGACTGCTGTGCTTCTGAAGTGTTTGTGTGTCCATGTGACTCTGCTGGGTGATCAGTGCCTGCTCTATATTTTGGCAGGAAGTGCAAACCTGAATACGAAACTTGTTATAAATAGATGCTGTTCCTGTCTGTCACTCGTTATTTAAGTCTTCCCGTCCAGCCATGAGTCATGTGCACCAGTTTCCCTTCAAAACAATCTGCCATGTAATAAATACTGTAGGCTTATACAATGACTTCCATGCAAATAATGTCTGAAGAGTCAAGTTTAGATGATCCCAACTTCTCATGGACCCAGACTGAGACAGACTTTCAGAAACAGCTAATCAATGAGATAAACAAGAGAGTAGACAAATGATGGCACTGCTTTAAACACTGAGTGAATGGAGTGTAATTCCAGCCCTTCTTATGTTTGTGTTTTGTTTGTCATCCAACATAAGAGCCAAAACACATCTAGACTTTTAGATCTAAATACTGCAGACCCATATCTTCCACTAATAATTAAACATTAGTACCTTCCTTTAGTGTGGCTAAATCACTTGCAAACATGACTACATGAATGCCTGCTGACATAGCAACACTCCTGAAGCGGAACAGGAACATGTCTTCTCTATTCCTGGACTACCAGCTTATCATTGAGAGAGAGAAAAAAATAGATTTTTTCACACAGCACAGAATTTGATGTGCTACAATGCTGCATAATATAACCATAAAACAAATTAAATGTTATTTTTTTCTTCTTTTTTTTTTCCATGAACTTCTGGTAAAAGAAGACTCTTGTAAACCCACACTAACACCTAAAGTGAACCAAATGGAAATCTAAAGAGAAAATCAAAAGGTTTACTAATACTACATTAGTAATGTAAACCATGAGAGTGCAATAAATCATCTAATTTGAACTCCTTATGGTCATTGTGTTAACTTCAAAAGCAGTAACAACAAAGTGAAGTCAAACTCACTCACCCAGCTCACAGAGGCAGAAGCAGTGCATTTATCCAAGCTCACAATGCCACACTTAATGTAGAGCTTTAGATTTAGTTCATTGCAGCTACACCGCAGTTAACAAGCTTGTCCACTCTTGAGATGACTGGCACATTGGGTTGCTCTATCTGCACAGAGTTCGAGCAGGCGAGAGGGGGTAAGCTGACAGGGAGATCATGGGGGGGCCGCACTGATTCTGACATGGCAGAGATGACAGAGTCAGCTGGGCGGTGCATGGCCCTTGGTAACACTTGCAAACAAACACAATGCCATAAATTAAGCAGAAAGGATTTTACCCTTCCCATAACCTCATTAGCCTGTCAACAGGGCCCCAAAACAATTACACAGCACTTGTCTGTGAGCTGTATACTCCAAAATAGTTTCACATTAAAAGACTGGAAGACCTCAGTCATATCAATGGCCTAATAAAAGATGTTTAATTTTTTACATAGAGCAGTGAATATAGCATTTCTACAATGGTATTCATCACTGAAAACTTTTGGGAAATACATTCAGGCTACTTGGTGTCAATATAATGCTCTATTTACATTGACAGCAATTTTACTGGAGGTCACCAAGTCACTGTACTGTTGATCACTAGTAGGTATTCACATTGCTGGATGCCCAAATAAAAAAAGGCAATCAATAAAATATATGCAATGAAATCCTTACAGAATTACTTTGGGGAATAAAATGCAACATAAAATAATACTTAGTGGAACTTTACAAGAGAAAGAAAGAAAGGCTCACTTATATAGTGTAGTAAAGTGCACTAAAAATGTGAAAACATATTTTTCTACCCAATTTACTCACATTAGTGTCACCAAAAGCAGTCAGGTTGATCCAGTTATATTAAATAGCTTTTCTAACTAATACAACTATTTAGTGAAGCACATTTTTACAATATAACTTGAAAAAAGGTTTATAGGGCACAAGAATATGACTTACCAAACCAGTGTTTTCAGCTCTGTCAGGCATCCTGCAAGACCTTTCATTCAATGGCTACTGCAACCGTTCTTGCTAAACTGCCTAGACTGTGATCTTCCCTTCCAATTTCAACTTCAATTCAGGTTTCCTATTGGAAAACCTTACAACGCATAATACATATATGCATTATTTATGTATTATCCATTGTCTGCTACCTGTTCACCTCACCTGTTTACACTCTTACACACACACCCCATACCATTTCACTTACTCACAAAATAATTATTCTCACCTTTCGCTACATAATACAGAAACCTGACCTTTTAAATGCATCAAGCAAAGTATTTATTGATCACTGAAATAAATATTTTTTTTAAAGCTGACAATCATGCAACACACCCCTTCTCCTCCCTGATACCATTATACAGTATTAAAATATTATATACCTATTATAATAAAGTGATTAACCAAATATTCCCATCCTTAATGCCCATTAAAACAAGTATAAAATGACTGTATCGCAAAATCACTTCAACTGCATAAACAAGGAATGCAGAATAATATGATTAATAAATAAGCTCTTATAGTCTATGAACAATCAAGGCTGATTTCCTATTCAGTTATGGATAATTATGAATTCACTTAATAGCAGATACTGAATGCACAAATATTAGTTGTTGTCAAGGGAATAAATTCATTTTTTGACTTCCTTATTTAATTCTCTCAAACTATGTCTATTCTCAGCACAATCTAGACTTCATTTGCTTGTTGCCAGTGTCTACTGCCTTTCATTTATCCATGTCTGTCATTCCTTTCCCTGCATCCTTTTCCCTCTCACTGTACAGATATTGTCAGGCATCTTTTTGCACCTCCCCCTCTTTTTTCCCCTTCCATTCCCGTCTCCTTTCACGCTCTTCATCTCCCAAGCTCCGACCACTACAGGCCAGTATGAGAAGAGACAGCCAAAAAAACATCCTTTTTCCTTCATATCCCCCTGACGTCAGCCCAGTCCAACACAAATACTCCCCACCATCCCCTTCTTCTGCCTGCACTGACAACCAGCGAACAGCCGGCAATGTCTTCCCACTCATTCTCATTTTGCCTTTCTGTCTGCAGTGTCTGAGATGCAGTGTTACCTGGCTGCGTGCGACTCCGATGCAGCTTCCCATCCTGTATTCCATGTCCTCCTGAGGAGAGGTGACAGAAGCACTACAAGGCTTGCAAAAATAGTCTCTCCAGGATTGCATCCCCACTACAAAGAAATGGCATCGCTGAGCAATGCAAGCAGGGTGTGAGCAAGTGAGTGCAAGCGTGCGAGGATACCCTCATATGTGTGTGTGTGAAAGTGTGTGTGAATAAGCCTCATCTACTGCAATGCCCAGGGTATAACTATGACATACAGCTCACTCTCTGTTATATAACAACACAATTATATAAATAGCACAGCCAAGGATTCAAAAAAAGTGTCTTGACATTTTTTCCTCTTTCTTCGTTGGCTTTTGCAGCGATGCTATAAGATGCTGCTCTGCAAGTGGGTAAAAAGCCCCTCTGTTATCAACAGCGACCGTCACACAAGCAGGGAGAGGAGGGGGAGGACAGAAAATACAGAAGCCAGATGAGAACGAGAAAATAAAAGAACAGAGCATCTGCAAGTTTAAAAGAGCAACAGCTGCAGGCATGACGACACGGTACTGAACATCAAAAGAAAATCACCAGAGGAAAAGTGATGGAGCCACTCAAGTGAAATGGGACAGTGGCAGAAAATAAAAGGAGAGTCAGGATGAGATAGATTAAGCTTTATGAAGATTGATGGACTGCATTTAAAATATTCATTCTTTAACTGGCATTAAAGTCAGCATCTATATCTATCATAATAAGTCCATAAAAAATGTATACTATAAAAATGTCATAACATTTTCTTATTGAGCCAATCATATTCAGATCTGCCTCCATTCAACACAATCCAATCAACAACCAGTGGATAAGATCGAGCCAGACCCACATTTGTTTATTGTTCAATATGCCATTAAACTGTGTCACAATACTGTAGTAAAGTTAGTCATAACTTCAGTTTCATGTTCACTCTTTTTCATCATTAACAATCAATATAAGATATGGATATATTGGTCAATACTGGATATTTAATTGTAGACATTCATTTCTGCCATTACTTGGTAATGGCTAACTTAAAGTGACAGCACTACATAATGACAAAGATTTAACCCTTTAGGTTTCTTAAAGGAATAGTTCACTCAAAAATGAAAATTTGCTGAGAATATATTCACCCTCATTCCATCCAAGACGTAGATGATTTTGTATCTTCATCAGAACAAATTTAGTGAAACTTTGGTGAAGCATTATATCACTTGCTCGCCAAATTTTCATTTTTGGGTGAACTAATTACTTTAAAAAAATAGTCATTTCCTATAATAATGAGCCTATAGGGCAGGGGTGTCAAACTCAATTCCTGGAGGGCCGGAGCCCTGCACAGTTTAGCTCCAACCCTAATTAAACACACCTGATCCAGATAATTAAGTCCTTCAGGCTTATTTAAAAACGACATGGTACTTGTGTTGGAGCAGGGTTGGAACAAAACTCTGCAGGGCTGCGGCCCTCCAGGAACTGAGTTTGACACCCCTGTTATAGGGAATATATTTATTGAGTTTTTCTCATGAAAAACATTCAAATTTCTCATCAAATATTCATCTAAAAATGAATAGTTATGCATATTTCATACTGTAAATGACAATGCAAATGCCGAAATGAAGCTTGACAACACTGAATAGACATTGACACAATTTATTGATTTTCGTTTTAGCCCATAATTAGTATTTAAGTCTAAATAGTATTGTGTTTTAATATCACTCATAACATGAAAATAATTAACAGTACTGGCCTGAATTCCATCCCTATGGAAAATGAGCTTTCAACAACCTTCACCTACCTCTGAAATAGAAAGCCATCTTTCCTTCTCAAATGAACATTTACAGATTAGACATTAATTTGTTTTGTTAATGCGTATCTTATTAATTGTATTAACTAAAAATGGACACCAGGAGTGATACTGCAGTTCTCTAAAAAAAATTAAAGGATAAAGTGTTAAATAAAGACTTAAAACTTAACAATACCTCATCTGAGAACATCTGAGGAAATCTGACAATAAATTTGGTAAATGGCAATTAAAAGCTACAAAATAAATAAGATAATTTTGTTTATGCTGCCATTTTCTTAAAAGTGAAACAGGATTTCAGCCACAAGAACTTTCCACCACAGTGACCCAAACATACGGAGCCCGGGAAGTCACCTGTAGGAGAAAAAAAACAACCCGTGGCGACGGTTTTGCAATCCGTCCCCTCAGTTTATAAACCGTACTCACGATTTCTTAAACTGTTCCCTCGGTTTAACAAATCGTGCCCAGGGATTAATAAACCGTACCCACGAATTTCCAATCCGTGCGCTCAGATTTTGTAAACCGTACCTTCGGTTTTTGAATCCGTACCCACAAATTCATAATCCGTGCGCACGCTTTCGCAATCCGTTCCCTCGGGTTTGTAAACTGTACTCACGGATTCATGCAGCAAGCTCCTAGGTAGCCTACATGTTAACAAATCATATTGTATATTGTTTTATTGCATATTATTATGTGAAATAGGCCTACAGCAAATTCTCTTAAGTGATTCTATCAATTGTAACGGTACGAGGTGGAATACTACGATTTAATAAGAAAGATAGATGTGCATCAAAATCTTTGTGATAATCTTAGCACTTGATTATTATTGTATAATAAACCTGGCTTTGTGACTGACTTTGGAGTCATTTGTTCCTCTTTTGTAAGTCGTTTTGGATCAAACCTTCTTCTAAATGCATATGTAAGCTAAATGTATAATAATAATAATAATAATAGCTATTATTATTATTTTAATTTATAGGCTAAATAAATGAGTGCACTTAAGACAGTAAAATGTTTGTCATAAAATAATTCATGAATGCTTTATTTTTAAATAACCTTTTACAGTTTTGGAGCTGTGTTTGTGTACTATTCATTCTTAACATATTTCATTCATTCATTCCCAGACTTATTTAGGTGATTTTATTACTAAGCTTTTTCCCCCAGAGTCAGATGCATGCGTCACTGTTAAAGTTATTATTAAATAACTAGGCCTATTATAACATTGCATTCAGTTAGAGAGCAAAGGAATGACAACATAACCGATACATTATTGTTTTTTTATTGCTTTTTACCTTCTTCTCTCGAAACTCTATCGTTTTATTTTTTAGAAAATTCAGGAAATGTTCTATTCTTCTTTTTAGCGTTTATTTTAGGCTATAAACCACAGGCGGAGGTGTTTTATCCTATTGGTGATTAATATAAAATAAACGCTAAAAAGAAGACTATTTTGTGAGTGCGGATCATGGTCTCATAGCTACTATGAAAAATAATGTTTAATAACACAATACTATATGCATCCCGCACCGTGGTTGAATCTGCCGGTGGGGGCGGGGCCACAAATCCACGAGTTTACAAACACGAGGGACCGGATTGCGAAAGCGTGCGCACGGATTATGAATTTCTGGGTACGGATTCAAAAACCGAAGGTACGGTTTACAAAATCTGAGCGCACGGATTGGAAATTCGTGGTTACGGTTTATTAATCCGTGGGTACGATTTGTTAAACCGAGGGAACAGTTTAAGAATTCGTGAGTACGGTTTATAAATTGAGGGGACGGATTGCAAAACCGTCGCCACGGATTGTTTTTTTTTTCTCCTACAGGTGACTTCCCGGGCTCCGTACTACCATGTATGCATAGCGAGACATAAAACAGCACATACCCTGATTAAACAAAGCACACCGACAAGCACAAAAGCCTATAAAAAAAATTTGAAATTAAGATCGAAAAAAATAATATATGAAAATGTTAAACAAAAACAACTGCTGTAAGAAATCAACAAAAACAACAGCTGCCCAATACGGAGAACCGGGGCGAAAGTAACGCGGGACAAAAGTAACAAAGCGCTGCTCACATCGTCTCCAGCCACTTGACAGGAGCGTCTTCGGTCCACTGAAGCGATATATAAACACGGCAGCAGATCACTGGATGAGAACACACCCTGGAAAAACTTTGACCATCTATGATGTTCCAAGCCTAGTGGCCACAGCTCTACCACGAGCAGCGACACCCAGAAACATAACGTCTGGCTTTGTGTGCACTGGCATCTGCCCCTTTAACCCAGATATTTTTGAGGAGCAAGACTTTTCACCTGCCTATGTCACCGACCGCCCGTTTCCTTCACTGGTACCATGTGGTCCCACACCACATTCCAACAAACACCCACTTAGCCAGAGCCTGTTTGAGGGAGGGCTGCTGCCAGAGTATCCTGGTGGTTCAACCAGAGACGCCTGTTTAGAGTCTGCCATCCCTGACCACCCAGCTGTCTGTTCAGGTAAGATAAAATAAGATAGAACTTGGTTAATCCCGAAGGATTTTAGTAAAATAATAACTAAAATAGAATTGTGCACGATATTGATATTATTGTTTGTGTCTGCTGATTAAGCTGTCCCACCTGAAGAAGGGGGAAGATGTCTGCTTGATGTCCCAGGGGGGGCCGACAGGCACACTAGTCTAGGCCTGAGTTCCAGGACTTCTGTCCAGGCATTCATTCCAGAAGCTGTACGTCCCTTTCCTAAGGCTGGTCCAAGAAAGGACACAAAACGAAGAGGCAAAAGGAGGTGAGTGGCATTTGGTTTTTGCTTTGTCCCGAATAATTTCTTTATACATGCTGCTACCATGTGGACAGAGGATGAGCAATAACTGGGAATATGTGTGTGTGTGGGAATAAATAATAGTTACATATTATCAAGGCCATAGTGAGGTACATTTAATAAAAAAATAAGAGTAACACAAAAAAAATCTAGCTTGTATTGTTGTTACTTTTGACCCACCTGTGTGTTACTTTAGTCCCAACAGACGGGGTCAAAAGTAACAATGTACAATTTATGTTCAAAGTGAAATTATACTGAAGTCGTTTTACATTTCTACAAAATACCACCTGGTATTGATAGACCACACTTGTGAGTTATTGACCACAGCAAAAATATATCTCTGTCTAAAACATTATCTTTTAAAATTACGTTTTTCTGAAAAGTGGTACTTTCGCCCCTGCTCTCCCCTACACTAAAATCTCAACTTCAGCCACTGACCTGGATACAGATTTACACCACTACACCATCCAAAAAGTCCCTGCAGCGTAGAGAAGCGTTTTGTGAACATGAGTGTTACTCAGACAGATCCCTCCAAAAGGCTTCAGATGTCAGTGGGATCAAACTACTGGGCAGTTAATCCAAACTTGGAATCTGTGTGCATGTGGAAGGCCGCACCACTGCACACATGAACAGCTCTCTATCGCCTCCCAGCATAAATATTTTACACGACTTCATATGAACATTTAACTATGGAAGCCCGTTTCCGCCACTGGATAATTTTTTTTAAACAAGGTAATTGCGACTTTTTATCTCACAATTCTGACTTTTTTTTCACCGAATTGTGAGATATAAACTCGCAATTGCGAGTTATAAAGTCAGAATTGCGTGATATAAACTCGCATTTTTTTCTCGCAATTCTGACTTTTTTTTTCTCAGAATTGTGAGATATAAACTCGCAATTGCGAGTTAAAGTCTAATTTTTAGGGGGGAAATGATATGTTCTCAGAATTGCGAGTTTATATCACAATTCTGAGAAAAAAAAGGCAGAATTGTGAGTTTATATCTCGCAGTTCTAACTCAGAATTGCGAGTTTATATCTCTCAATTTAATTATGACTTTTTAACTCGCAATTGCGAGTTTGTATCACGCAGTTCTAAGAAAAAAAGTCAGAATTGTGAGATTAAAAAGTCGCAATTCAGTCATTCTTGAGAAGTGGGACAAAACGGTGCAAAATTGAAAAAAAATAAAACCTTGTTGGAAGATGGTGTTGACATATCATGGCTGTGACACAGGAAATATTAACATTAGGATTTAAAATATTCTAAAACTAAAACTTAGCAGAGCCTGTCTGACACTGATGTACTCTGCAGAGGTGAACTGTGGCAAGGGGGTCCTTTAGAGTGACAGCTGCCCCTGATATTCCCTGATTTTATTACATTTTATTGAATGTCTGACGGTGTTGACAAAAAGTGGGGACGCAACTTTAAAATCTTATGAAACATGCATGTGTCATTAAAAAAAACAACCTTGCTTAGGAGATATTATTAAGTTTTGCTTTTGATAAAACAAGCTTTTTCATCATAAAAAAAAAATTTATCCATTTTATTGCATATGAATGATTGAACCCTTCTCTGTGGACACACTGTTTTAGACGTAGTGAGAGGACATTAAGAAACACAGATTTGGTATAATAATGAGAACATTGAATTGAAGGTGATAATTGAGTTAAATACATTCTATTATTAATCCCTCATGACACGTAAAATTTAAAATATTTTTATTTTTTAAAGCTAATAGCAGTTACCCTTGCTCAAGAATGACTGAATTACCTTTTATTTATTTTTTATTCAGTGGCGGAAACGGGCTTCCATATTAACAGACAACAAAGCTCAAGAAAATACAAATATTGCCATGCGGTCATGCAAATAAACTTGACTAGAGGCAGCAGTCAAGATTATGTATTCATTAAGAATTTTTAAAGAGTAGTTTTAAATCACATTCAGCTTTGTCCAGTAAAAATAAAAAGGCTATTTCACCACTAGGTGGTAGTGTTCAGCTTACTGTAATTACTGACAGGAAAGCCATATTAATGATTACCTGAGGGTTGTATTTCATTCGTTATTGTGAGACATCTGTTTAATCTCCAATTACTATTAAGAAATTAAAACAAAAATAAAAACCCCTACACTAAGCTCATATTTATTTAATCTCCATTAAGTTTCTTATCTATACAAAATCATAGATGGGTTTAATGGAGCAGCTTAGTAAAATGGCACTCTGTAGTATGAGGGCTGTGCAAATGGAGATTTGACTTGCAAATAGTAGAATTACATAATGGTTTACAAAGCAAACCTGTTTTATGATATATTGATGCCATGTGAGCAGTGAGACACATTTTCAAGCAGCCAGACACCGTCTATATGCACACAACTGACCTGCTACTCTGAATATTTCTAATTAAGAGAAAGAGAACAGCCATGTACATCTACAGACAGTGAAGGGTTATGAACCTTGCATGTGTCCATCAAATATTCAAATCAAATATAATTAAAATATTTCTTTAGTTACTTGAAATCCAACACTTAATATAATGTTAAGTGCACTTTACATTTATTGTATTAGACACAATTTTATTACACTTTATACAGAATTCAAAGACATCACTCTTAAAATTGAGATCCCAAATATTAAAAAAATATAAAAAGAAGAAAACAGTTTTTATTTTATAAGCATTTTGGCAGTTGTCGCTAACTATCCTCCAACTTAGATTTACTGAGACAAAACTTCCGGAGCGGGGATCAAAGCTTCCTTAATATCAAAGGCATCGATGATTTCCTGCAAGACACAGATCATAGATACAAGTTATTTAATGTAAAGAACAGACTGTTCCATGCTAAATAAATATGATCTGAACATGGCAAAGTTGTAAAAAAAATTAGTCTCAAATAGTTGTTAAAGATACAAGCCTCGGGTAATCCTGAGAAGAAAACAATTTCTATATTATCACCTCAATTAGAATCCAAAAAACACTTATTTCCAACCCCAAACATCTACAGTCTTAATGTGCTCACCCTCCAGCTTTCCTGGTTGATGGAGATGACACATTGATGTCGGACAGCAGCTCCACCAGGCTCTATCTCACCTTCCTCTACTGGAGCTATAATACACATAATCTCGAAGTACATTCAAACAAACACAATCAAACAGTGACCTGTGGATTCGATCTTACCTATACAAGGAAGCCCATCTGTATCCAAGTACATTCTCACCAGACCATCCTGAGGGAAATATTTCATTCATTATTGTGAGACTTGTTTAATTTCCAAAGCTGTTGTTGCCTCTTAACTTACCCTTATGAGAAAAGACGTGTGGAAGATGTTCTCCACAGTCCGGGAGAAGGAGTTGGGGTCAATGACGAACTCGTAATATGAAATGGGTTCCTCAGCTGTTCCAGAAAAAGTCATTTTTAATGGGTTTTAAAATAGTCTGTTTTGCTTAACTGCGATATGTTCTTTTATTTTTATTTTAACATGCTTACAGTCATCAGCAAAGTAACTTTGCAGACATCCAAGAATTCTTTCAACCTCTTTCTCTGTTGCCTCCTGGTGAGATTCTTCCATTTTCTTCAGCTGTGATGACAAGATATTTTCTTAATCTCTTCAAATCAGACAGATTATCAAGAGTATTTGCAGAGACTGTCAGCATTTGCATTATAATGAGCACACCTGGGTGGGCATAATTCGTTTTGCCTCTTTGCTGGGTGCTTTCCTTTGTCTTTCAACTCTCTGCCGTGGCGGAGGAGGCTCTGCCAAAAATGAGCCCAACCTTGAATTAAACAAAAATAGCACAGGTTGTAAAAGTAAACTGCACAATGTATTCGTAAACTCTCCTTAATGAGGCTGTCAGAATAAGTTTTGTTTTTGTAAGCTATAAAACGGCTTAATAGCAATTGTAATCAAACTGATTCGGAGGTTTAGCGTTAAGTAAAAGTACGTTTATTTAATAAATATCATGAAAAATTATATTTACTCATTACTCAAGCTTACACTACAGTTCAAAATTTTGTAGTCGTCAAGTTTTGTTTTTTTTTATGTTCCTGAAAAGTTTCTTATGCTCATCAAGACTGCGTTCATTTGAAACAGTAACACTGTGAGTTATTATTACAATTTAAAATAACGGCTTTGTATTTTATTATTTTTTAAATGTATTCCTGTGATGGCAATGCTGAATTTTCAACAGCCATTTCTCCAGTCTTTAGTGTCACACATGACACTATCCTTCATTAAAAACCATACTAATATGCTGATTTCGTGCTCAGGAAACTTTTATTATAAAAAATGTGGAAAACGTTGTGCTGCTTAATATTTTTTGTGGAAACTGTGATACATTTTTTTCAGGATTTTTCGATAAATAGAAAGTTCAAAAGAACAGCATTTATTTGAAAGAAACAATTTGAAACATTATAAAAGTCTTTACTTTTATCAATTTAATGTGTCCTTGCAGAGACAAAAAATCATGAACGTTTCTGAGGGATAACACAAATTTAGCTTTGAACTATTTGAACTACTAATGCCGAGTTCACACTGCACGATTTTAGCCCGATTTTTCACTCGCCGACAGGTTTTGCGAAATCGCCGACAAATGCCCGAAATCGGAGGCAAATCGGTGCTCGTTCACGCGAGTGACAATCACGCAGTGTGAATTATCAAAGACGCGATCTGAGGGAATCGCCGACGCGTCGCCAACGCCCGTGAAATATTTGGCATGCTAAATATCTGGAGCTGCCGGCGATTCACAATCACGCTGTGTGAAATGAGTTCTGACTGAAAAACACATCGGCGATGACCTACAGCCAATGAGAGACCAAGATACAGGGCAGCAGGAAGTTCGGGGAGGAGTTATGACCAGTGTTGCCAAATCCGCGATTGCAGCCGGTTGTTTTTTATGTCAGCAGGTTAAAGCGACCCTAATAACTGATATTTAGGCCCTGGAATGTGAATTGTACCAGGAGAACCCCGCCAAAAAAAAAAATATTTTACCCCCGAACGCGACTGGGGGACCCCCTCGAAAGCAATTGGGCTATTTTCAGGCTAGTTTTGAGTAGTAATTGGGCGGGTTTTGTAGCTAAAACCTGGCAACCCTGCACCAGACAGAGCTGTCGGCGATTCTTCCTATTGTAAAGTCATGCAGTGTGTAACCTCCTGTCTCGTTCCATCGTGCAGTGTGAACACAGCAACAACTGAATGCTACCCCAGATAGTCGTTCAGTGTGAAACCAACAGTGATGCGACGTCTTTGAAAATCGTGCAGTGTGAACTCGGCATAACTTTGAGATTCACTTACATCAACAGTTTTAACTGATTCAAGATCCTTTACTACAGAAGTGGGCCACAAAGACATCAGTTCAATATATCAGTTCATGGGGCGAGAAGGGAATCACAAAACTAGCCTAATAAACTTAATAGCAAAAAAATCACAAAATGTTTTGCAATTACCTGCAAAATAATTTCAAGTTGAATGTGAATTTCCAATATATCCCCTTGTCTTAAACACTTACCTAATTACCTAATCGCCTTCAGTTTCATTTTATGTCCCTTACTACAGACATACTCACATGTAGTGGAATGAGGGGGCTGTTTTGAAGCAGTACTCAGATCTCTTTGCAAGCCTTTGCCAGGCGCCTTGTGGTAAATATCCCTCCAAGTTCTCATCCTGACCGCTTTCATCCTCCAAACGATTCAGACCCATGAAGGACAACTAGAATGATCAATATGAGAAATCAATCAAGGAGAAAAATCATTTCACAGTGAATCTGAACATCACTTTCTCCTAAATACAAGATCTGGGCTGCGTTTGTCAAAAGCATTCTGAGCTAAGTTGATCGAAGAGACCACTGGTGGCAATGGTTCTATGATCTACTTAAAGGTACACTAAGCAATATTTGAAAAACACTTTTGACCACAGTGTAGGACCGAGTCCCAAAACACACTTGTAGCCAATCAGTAAGGGGCGTGTCTAGTAATGAAAGAGAGAAGAGAGCGCTCAATTTGAGTGCACAGGATGGATATTAGCAGATCGCACTATAGATAGAGAGAGATGGCAGATAAAAAAAAAGAGGAAAATATCAGAGGAACAAATGATACCTCGATGCTTTTAGGAAATGCAGGTCTGGCCTATCTTTTCACAGTAACATACCAAATGTTCTGCAAATGCAGACGGGTCAAACGCAGAGCCTTCAGCATGTAGCTGGCTGGCCTTTTCCTTCCCCAGATCAGTGGCTAGTACCAGGAGTTGAGCATCCAGTGCTGCTTCACGAGCCTGCCTCACTGAAAGTAGACACAGGCCATAACAAACCAGCAGGAGATGATCATGAAGACATAATACATAGAAAATGAAATGTGTGTGCGCCAAGCTCTGCCAGACCATGCATCCTACTAATTGACTGAATTGCATTAGTTCTGTAGGTAGGTACCAGAATATGTAGTGTAGAAAAATAATACCATTGGCAAATAGTTTGTTGGCCTCTTCTAAAACATCAGTGAGTTTATTGTTTGCCGGGTTCAGCATGTCCTCACGATTTTCTGTAAACAAAAAAGCATATATACATACAACAATATACTTACAATACCTTATAACTGAAACAGCAAACGGTATCATTGAAGCCAACTTTAACATTATTAATACTCACGCTGGACTTGATTGATCAGATCCCTGTACTTGCTCCTGATCTCTCTCCTGCGTGTTGGATCATTATCTTCCTCACTAATACCTGAGGGTCCTGCACCAATGTCATCTTCATCACCCATATCACCAGGTCTCTCTGGCCTGTTCTGTCCACCCAATCCATTGGATGTTCCTGCTGACTCTTCTTGATTCCCTCTAGACCTTCTCCTCGAATCAGACATCTTCAATGTTTCTGCTTGATTTTCTATTCAGAGAGACACATATGTCCGAATAACATTACATAACAGTATTACAGAAACTTAAATACCTAGATCTATAAAATCAGATTATGTTGTAACAAACACTGCAATGACAGTTGCACACTGGGAAGTGTTTTAAAAAGTTATGTAGGTTTCACCCAAGTTTTTAAAGATAGCATATAACATAACATAACATCATATAATAAAGCATAGAATGCAGCATAATTTATTAAAGCATCGCATAGCACAGTTTCCTGCTAATCACATGGTTAGTAAAAACTGTATTTTACTGGTACACAAACAGATTTTAGTGAGACTTTTTTTTAAATAAAGTTTATTTTCAAAACAATTCCATCCTGTGTTCAAGCAATCCATGAAAATATAACTGTTAAGACATTGTATTTATACATAAATATTTCCTGACAGTGATCATATTTGCGATCCACTGCAGCTGACCTACAAATGCGATGAGACACCGGAAAATAAAAACAGAGAATAATTAATAAACACTGATGTACAAAAACTAGCTAATTAGAATGTATTATGAAAACTTACAAACTTCAAAAACTGCAGGGTTCATATCTGTCATTTGCATCAACGATGAAATCATCGCGGGAGTAGAAGGAAGTGTGTTTACTGGCCTCACGTCATTTCCGACGCATTCTATGACTGTAGTATCATAATTGTATTTTATATAATTTTATTTATTAGTTCTTCCCCTGGTTTATATTTTATACTATGTGTACAATATTGTTTAAGCAATAACAATTGCTATTTACGAACTACAACTTTTGTCCGATCTGTCACTCACATAATCTCACATCCTTGTGGTAGTTGTAGTCCTTATTAAGCAATTTATCAGCAATTTACCTTAAAAACACACACAGTATGTAATCTAAGTTGTTAAACAAACCTGAAAGTGTTGTATGTTAACCAAGGATCATAATTTACCAATACATCGAAAACCATTCTAAAAACACAAAAAGGACATTTCTAAATGAATCTATGGCGAATTAGCCTCCCTTGTTAGCCTACAAATTGACGTCATGACTGAGCGGTTCAGATTATATATTTTAGGTTTTTCCAGAATAAAAACTCAGTTGCGAGTTTGTATTTTTCAAATAATTATAAATATATTTAGGTAATTGTTGTGTATTTAGCTGTACATTTAAATAAATTGTATTTAGGTAACGTTAGAAGTTGTGTCTGGTTAGAGAACAGAGTAATGAATTAAACCCCTCCTTCCAACAGAGCAAAAAAAAAACTAAAAACACCGCATAGGGTGTATTTCAAAACTCAGTAAACTGCCTATCTAGACAGGATTTCTGGCAGTCACAGTGGCGAGCGTTGTTGCACAATAATGCTCTGTGAGTGCACGCCTCTGTGGGTATTGAAACACAGCCACTCGAATCCGGAAATTAACAACAAACTCGTGATGTCAGGAGGAGTGGGAGAGAAACAGACAGCACAGGAGAAAATTACGTGTATTTCCTAGGATTTATGTACTGTAGAGATATGACATCGTCATATGATGGAGTTAACGCGTGAAACGAGCACTGGACATGTTTCAGGGAGATTGTGGATGATCGCTGGTCCAAACTGAAAGTGTTTTCACGCGCATCGTGTGCTTCCTATTCCAGATCGACTTTTCAGCAAACATGACGCGACTATCATTAGAACAAGTGACTGATTTCGGTGATTTCACGAAAGGAAAGGATCTAAAAGAGTTTTTCAAGCAGGCATACTCCAACATCTCATCTCAAGACTGCCTGTCTGATGTGCGTCTGAGTCCAGATGGACGTCACATTCATGTCATTGTGCGTCAGCCCAAGAGTGGTCTTATTACACATGACAAATATCAGCGACCTCATCTCATGCAATGCCAGAAACACAATGATTTAGTGCTATCTGGAAATGTGCCTGTAGTGGATGTCATTTATATCTCTCAAAGCAAACCAGAAGACGGAGCCTCTGTGCTTGGAGTAATATTTGAGAATGGAAGAGTGGAATTCTGGAAATTCCTAGAGTGCAAATCAGGCTGGCATTTACTCCAGACTGTGGATCTGTGTAACAGCCCTCGTGCTAAAGTCAGTTCTGTGTGCATGTGTCAGAATTTCATTATATGGTGTGAGGAGCGACCACCATCTGAGAACTCCAATAGTGTATGCAGCAACTTCAGGTTCTGCATCTGCAAAAAGACTATAGAAGTTAATGAGGGAGGTGTCAATTTAGGAAACGTGAAAATTGCATTGCACAATAATCCTCGATACACAACCGTCAGTTCTGGGGATTTGGTCTATCTGCTCCCAGACATGAGAGAAAACTCTTCCATGGGTGTTTTGAAAGTGTTTCTTGCATGGTCTCCTGAACATGATACCTTTAAAGTGCATAGTGCCTGTAGTTGCACACTTATGAAAAGCTCAAGCAAGGAATCTGACTTCAAGAGACTTGTTACAGACTGCATTGGCCTTCTAGCCACCATAAATCCTCCTGATATCTGTGGATTCTCTCCCACTGGATGTGGAGACCTCCTTCTCCTTCTTAGCACTGGTTGGGTATGCATTATGAAGAGGGATGGCAGTCTTCATCACATATACAAACTTCCTGATAATTGCCTAAGTGCTAGTGGGACCCAAAATAGCCTGAAAATATATAACGAAATCCTGGCACTAACAATAGGCAGGACCCTCTTCTTAATCGAAACCAAATGTGGTCTGGAATTAAAAAGAATAAGTCTGAAAACAGAAGGTCTTCTCTTCATAAACACTTTGGACAGTCACTCTCCACTAATGCTGTCAGAAACCGGGCTGTTTGTGGTCACGCAAAAACCGAAGCCTTCTCCAACACTTTCAGAAGACTCGTGTGCACTCTTAGTTGAGGCTGTCTTTGAGGAGGCATGCAAATACTATCAGCAAAGAAGTCTAAGTAGCACACAGCTCACGGTGGAGAAGCTCAAAAAAGGTGGGATGTTTCAAGCGCCCATATCGCTGGCCGCCATTCTCAGGGATTACCTCCGCAACCAGAAGATCAAAACTGGTGAGAAAAATTCCACAGGTCAAGAAAGGCTCATGAGCTCACTCGAATCAGAGCTTAGGAGTCTCGTTTTGTTGGAGGACATCAAAACATCAGTGGTGAAGGCTTCGGAGAAAGATCTAGAGAACTATTGTGAAAGCTTGGTGCAGCAGGAGATCTGCCGGCTGCTTAGCGGTGAGCTAGAGAGGGAGAATCTTCAATATCTAAACAGCATCTTCCATCTCTTTCCCACTTACTCCTGGCATGCCATGCAAGCGGTTCTGCATCTGAGGTGCAACGGTGAGGGTTTGTTGTCATCTAAAGCTCCTGCTGAGTTATGGAAAATCATCCTCAGCCCTGTGCAACCCACAGCAAACTTTGCTCACTGCAATGGTCAGCAGAAACACACTACGGTGCCTGTTTTTGAGCTCTTGTGCCAATCTATCTTCAAATTCCAGCCCAGCTGGCTCCCCAGATTTCTCGAACTGGCACAACAACAATCAGGCGGGTCCTCCAAGTCTTCGTGGGGTTTCACCATGAAGGAGAGCTCTGAGAGCTTGCCGCTCTATAAACGGGCCTTGACTGTGCTCCCTTGCAAAGGGACCTACCAACACCTGGAAGTGGAGCTGCTTTTGTGCAGCGAGCGGCCTAAAGCGATAATGCAAGCGTTGCGGATTCTCATCAAGCAAGGCCAGTGGGAACGGGTTGCGCAAGTAGCTGAGAGGTTCTGCCGGCAGAGCCCGCTTCTGAACAAAGAGATTTTCATTGCTCTGCTGTGCGAAGTGTCCCAACATAGAGACTTGGACCCCTATTTGGACCTGCTATGGACTCTTTGTCCAGAGGACATGACTGTGACGAGCATACTTAATATTGTATTGAAAAACCTGCCTGATTCAATGCAGAACTCTGGTCCTTTCGAGGCTCATGGCAGCCAGGTCACCATCGGGCTTTTGAAACCGCTGCTCAGAAAAGTTCTCCAAAGGGAGACCAAACCGAGCCAAAGGTACGCAGATATTCTTCAGTCACCCACAGTTCCTCCGCTCACTCCTCCACGTCAACCAAAGGGACTGTTCAGAGATGCTGAGCAGCAGGAAACCAAGCAGAGGGCTTCCTCTGGATCTCAAGTGACATCTCAAGCCAAGCTGGTCTGACTTTCCCACTCTCAAACCATGTCTGACCCTTTCAATAGACTGTTATTAAAAGGGTCTTAGAGGTTAACCCAAAATGAAATTCTGTCATCATCTGCTCATGTTTATGTCATTTCAAACCTGTATGACTTTCTTCTTTGGAGCACTTAAGAATAGATTCTGATAAACAATTTAACAGTTTTATCCTTACATTAAAAGACAATTTCATCCAAAACAATCTTTGGACCCCATTGACTTTCACTGTATTGCCTGTATATTGTGTTCTACAAAACAAGTAGTTATACAGGTTTGAACAACATGAGGGTGAATAAATGACACAATTTCATTTTTGGGTCAGCTGTCCCTTTAAGAAGTATTATTTACATAACATGGTCTGAACAAAATTACGGAGCTTCGGATCAAACCATATTTCATTAACTATTGAAATTGTAAAGTAATAACTCGCAATGCACAGATGTTTAACTACTGCTTAATTATTCCTAATATAGAATGTAATATATGTTGTTTTTATGTTTATCAAGTTTGCTGCATTTCGTCTAATGTGTTTTTGGTGTCTTATTTTGTCTTCCTTAACTTTCAGTTGTGTCTTTTTTTATAGCCATCACATAAAGGCATGCTGTCACCCTGATCCTAATGCAAGGTCAGAGATGACTAAGCATTATCCACATTTCATGCTCTAGATCATTTATTGTATAAACTCTTAGAATATCTTTTTTTCAGTTTGTCATCATATGCTGGTGTAATTATTATTTTAAGATAATCGTGTGGAAGATGTAAGCTAAGAACTGTATTTGTCATTAATAAAAAATATACAGTAATCTAAAATGTAATGTAATATAAAATGTAATCATTGGACATTTTAGATGTGGTCATTTCATGTTAAATGCCTTATATATTTCATGAATTGCTCATGTATTGCTGCCACTCCTTTTCAAATCTCTTTGTGAGCTAAAGTGTCACAGCCGTCATTAGTGATTTCTGGTTTTGTGGTCAGAGAGGGGAATTCTGATGTGTTTCCAATGCAAAGCTTTATAAACTCACTAGGTCTGTACAGCCCCACCCTCTGCATTCCTACTGAGCTCAGCAGCAGCATTCACAGCACTGCTTTAAATTCAATTCAACTAAATTCTATTATCCAGTAACCAGCTTCAAACTCAATCACATTGGACAGGCTTGTGTTGCCCTGAATTGACTCGTCATAGCTAATCGTATTTGGAGAGCTGAAACACTTCTATTTTCTCTTTGTGATGCAAGTGTTTACTAAGTATTGGTTTGACTGAGTATTCTGCACAATGTATTTGAATGTATTTTATTTTATGATCTAAAGTAATTAACTAAAGGCACTAAAAATGTACATTTAAAAACATTTAGTAAAAATGTCTGAAATATCTCTGTGTGTGCTACTGTTAGACAAATCTGTGCCGCATTCTGTCTGCTGAGGAAAAAGTGAATTGTTTAACACTCATAATGGCATGTTTGAGTAATTGCGGATTCTTGAGACATGGGACAAAACATTCATTAAAAAAAAAAAAAAAACATTTCCAGTTTGATTATTAGAGATGATTGCAAGAATGGGTCTACACAAATGTAAATCTTATTTACATTTTTTTTTTTTTTTTTGATAATTTGTGTAATCTCAAGTTTTTTTTTTCTGCTTGCAACACCACAAAAACAAAATGCCTATATGTGATACAAATAAAGTTATTTTGTCAAAACCAAAAGGTTTTCTGTCAATGGTGCTGACTGTTATATATAAATACACACACACAGTATATATTTTGAAAATATTTACATGTATTTACATTTGTTTATATTCATAAAATATATTATAAATATATTTAATATATGAACATAACATATTTTTCTGCAATATATACA